CATTACACCACCACCACCAGCCTGCACAGTGGTAACAAGGCATGATGGTTCCATGTTCTCATTCTGTTTACGCCAAATTCTGACTCTAACATCTGAATGTCTCAACAGAAATCGAGACTCATCAGACCAGGCAACATTTTTCCAGTCTTCAACTGTTCAATTTTGGTGAGCTCTTGCAAATTGTAGCCTCTTTTTCCTATTTGTAGTGGAGATGAGTGGTACCCGGTGGAGTCTTCTGCTGTTGTAGCCCATCCGCCTCAAGGTTGTGCGTGTTGTGGCTTCACAAATGCTTTGCTGCATACCTCGGTTGTAACGAGTGGTTATTTCAGTCACTGTTGCCCTTCTATCAGCTCGAACCAGTCTGGCCATTCTCCTCTGACCTCTGGCATCAACAAGGCATTTCCGCCCACAGAACTGCCGCTCACTGGATGTTTTTTCTTTTTTGGGACCATTCTCTGTAAACCCTAGAGATGGTTGTGCGTGAAAATCCCAGTAGATTAGCAGTTTCTGAAATACTCAGACCAGCCCTTCTGGCACCAACAATCATGCCACGTTCAAAGTCACTCAAATCAACTTTCTTCCCCATACTGATGCTCGGTTTGAACTGCAGGAGATTGTCTTGACCATGTCTACATGCCTAAATGCACTGAGTTGCCGCCATGTGATTGGCTGCTTAGAAATTAAGTGTTAACGAGCAGTTGGACAGGTGTACCTAATAAAGTGGCCGGTGAGTGTATATTGTTAGTGCTGGGCAACTATTAAATCGCATCCAAAATAAAAGTGTCTTATTTATTTATAAAATATTTTTATTTATATATATATATATATATATATATATATATATATATATATATATATATATATATATATATATGAAATATTTCCATATATATTTATATATGATGTATCACATATATATATATATATATATATATATGTGATGTATACATCATATATATAATAGTGTGTGTATTTTTATATAGAAAATAATTATACACAGTACACCAACACAAACTATTATTTTGGATGCGATTAATCATAGTCCAGCACTTTTTTTTCTTTTTTACATTTTAGCTAATTTTCTCCATAAAAAGAACATTAGTAAAACTTCACTAATCACCATTTGACAACTGTCCACTATAAACACACAATACTGAAGAGAAAAAACACCCTTTTTTTAAATTATCTTTAAAATTATATAACCTACATACGTGTTTCACATTCTTTTTGTGACGAGAAAACATCCCTACAGCTTCGGGAAGTGAACATCAGTGTTTTACTGTCGCATAAGAAGTGTTATTTTAACATCAGTGTAAACTACGGGGTTCAGGTTATCCTACATTAGGGTTATTTAACAACAGAAACTGAATAATCAAATGTGAAAATAAAACACGGCTTAGTTTTCACTGTATGAATTAAATATATACTGATTCTTCTTATTAAAGCTACAAAAGTTATTCAGCCGTCTTTTGTTCATGATCAGTTATTGCAAGCCGTTGCGATATGCACATCTCGATACAATTTCGATATTTCGATAAAACCTGCCTACGGGTTGCATACCAGCTCGAAAATACAATGTGCTCAGCACTACGAGACAGGGAGCACTGAAATATAACATCAGATCAGCTTATCGGTATTGCCGGCCAAAGCCCAGGGAACACATCGCCGGTGCAATGCACAAAAACCCATCAAACCCCAATGCCTGCTTTAGTCAAGTGCTATTAGCTTTGAGCTCACAAGTCGCCAGAGTCAAGTCACCTTCATTTATATAACTTGCCACTTTTTACAATACAGATTGTTTCAAAGCAGCTTTACAGTGATAAAAGGATATTAATGCAACAAAGATTGTTTTGGCTGTACAGCAGATCTAGAAGAAAGTCGTTTAAGTCCTGCTTTCCGAAACTTGTAATGCGTTCTGGCCATTCATTTAATCAAAAACAGCATTTTGGTGGCCTGAGAAACGCAAACTTTGAAGTAGGACAGGTTTTAACAGATTTATTTAAAGCCCTTTACTTTAGGGATGCACCGATATGAACATTTTTGCCAATGCCGATAACCGATAATTTTTTATGTTTGAAAGCCGATGACCGATATATATGCTAGTAAATCTAAATCCAAATTAAGATACATTTTTAGAGGCTGATTACAAAAACAAAACTCTCACCAGTAAAAGCCGTGTCCCAAACACACAATTATAATATTCTCATTATAATTTTATGTAGCCGATATGACAGACTTTACTGCACTAAACTGTTTTTTACTTTTTTTAAGTGATTTCAATCATATTTCAAGCCAATTAAAAACCATCATGTTGAACAGTGCACATCTGAAATGTCTCGGATGAAGGAAATAATACATTATTTATCAGCTTTAATAGATCAGCCAAATTGTCTTATTAGGCCGATAACGATAACATTAAAATTGTGTCACATATCGGCAGAAACCGATATAATGTGCATCCCTACAGGACAACAACTGAAAAATACTGATGACTCATCTTGCACTGTAAAGATTTATCCAATCAAAATCTCTCTCGATCAGGGCTGGCCAATCCGGTTTCAGGAGAGCGGAAACCATTCAAAGTGCTAGAAGTGGGAATCACAAAGCCAAAACCCATTGCTGACCGTTTTCTTTTGGACCACAGCATTATATCAATGACGACTGAGTCCATCAGAGACTAATGCTCAAATCCACTGCAAGCTCTTCTTTCGGTGTTGTAAGGAAACCAAGCGCTGGTCATGTGACACCTCCACAGTAACTCTCTGCAGGTGAAGAGAGTTCGGGTCATGCAGGACGGGGTTAAAGGTCAAAAACAAGCACAATCATTAATGCAACATTCTCATACGATCATCAACGGTGAACATCCATATCCGACTGATTGCATTGGATGCTTTTTCTAGCAGACATGATGATGATGATGAAGATGATGAAGATGAAGATGATGATGATGAAAGCACGCGTGTCATTGAGCAGAATCAGACATGCGATCAGTTCATGCTTGCTCTGCGAGCCATAATTGTGTCATAGTTGCTGTAAGTCTGAACATGTTTTAAAGGCATGTCGGGTCGCCTCTTTTCAGGAAGCAGAACTCAGAACTCAACCGCTTTTATTAATATCACAGCCAGACCATGATATTTTTTTGGCAACAACTTGTATGACACATCGAAGTACGCAAATTCCAGTCAAAAAATACAAATTTGTCAAGCTGATTTGCCCACAAGCCCTTTAGGGATAAATCTAACTAGAGCTGCAATTACACTCGTCTTTTTTGCGCAGCTTAGAGTGTAATTGTTGATGTCTTTATTAATCTATATATTAGGATTATTGATTTATATATTGAGTTAAAGACGTACCCAAAATAACGTAGGATTATTGATTTTTTTTTTTTTTATAAGGTAGAATGGCTACTTTGTAGTGAATAATAAGTTATTATTCACTACAAAGTAGCCTTTCTACCTTAAGTTATCACTAGATATCATAAAAAAAAAAAAAAATCCTACGTTATATTGGGCGTCTTTAACTATTACGTGCTGTTATTGAGCTGGGATCGGGTACGGTTAGGCACAGGTTGCATGTACGGTTAGGTTTATGGGTGTAATTACAAAAATTAATTACAGACTTGATTACTACAAGCAGGTGTTTTTTGCATAATTTAAAGGTTGTACAAGAGTTAAAGACACAATATAAATTCCAAAAGCAATTGTGAGGAGCAACTGTTACACATTTATTGGGATGGATACTTGTGTCTCACTAGGTTCCAGTATCTAATAAACTATTGAAATACTCACTAACAACCAAGAAATATTTACATATTAGAATATAATGATGACAGGTGAAATCGAAAAGGACTACACTAGTTGGAGGAAAACTGTAAAAATGTTAAAAAGAATGATAAGATTCAAATAAATAAGCGAACAAATAAATAAATGAAAGTGACTAAAATAAAAATGAGAAATTAATCAATTAAATAAAGTTAGATTCAAGGTAGTTTGATTATTATAAAAAAAATATATTAAAATTAAATGAACAAATAAGTAATTCACTTAACAGTTCATTACTATACTATAATAATTACACGTATATGATACTTAATAGAAACTACTTTTAGATTTATAATATTAATTTTCCAGTTTAAATTTGGTGTTTATAAAAGATAGATGCATTTTAAATCTTAGGATGGGGGTCTGTCACACGAGGACGGACACATGTTGGGGGTCCGTCATGGCATCTAAAAGACTGACAACCCCTGATGATGAAGATGATGATGAAGATGATGAAGATGACAGGCTCGTCATGTGACAGAATCAAGCTGATCTGCTCAAACGCGCTTGCACTAGTGACAGGATCGCGTCAGTTACTGTAAATGCTTCATGGATGGATTGAATGTAAACGCACTACACAGAGTCCGGGAAACAGAAACAAACACACGTCTGCAACTGTACAAACAACTATATGAAGAGTTCAGCTCGAGCATGTCATTTCTGGCGTCAATTTGCACAAAACACTTGACTTAAAGTGAGTGAGTCGCCATCCCCGCAAGCAGAGAACGTTCTCAGAATTGCCAAGGTTCTCTCAAAGTTATGAACCAACGTTCTTATAGTAACGTTCGTTCAAAAAGATCTGGTTTTTAATAATGTTCTCAAAACGTTAGCACAAAAACATTACTTATACATCATTCATGGAACGTGTTTTTGTTGGAAATGCTTTGATTTGACACATTCAAAAGTAGCATTCACGCAGGGCTAGTGTTTGAAGATGTTGGAGATGGAACGTTAGTGAAACATCCATTGTATCATTCTTCAAACATCATGCAAAATGTTACTTTTAAATGTTCTCTGAACGTTCGAAACGTCCAGCTCGAGTCCGAACGTCATTGAAACGCTTCGAACGTTCAGAAATAACGTCAATGGGAACGTTAGCTAAACATTCTTCGAATATACCTTTAGCTGTGATGCAGGAGCACCAGGTCAATCAGGACAATGATCTGAAAACACACTCACCCCATTAACCACTCCATGATGCCTGAACGGGATAAATCCAGCTAGAGCTGCCGTGCTCCTCGTTCTGTTCCCCGGTAACGCGAGCTCACCGTGTGGATCTGCGTTCTGCGGGTTTAATCTGTGTTTCCCGAGCGAAAGCGCGTTAGTGAGACGCGGATGAGCTCCAGCGCGCTGATCAAGGACCGCATTGACTTTGACGTTTGGCGAAGGGTGGCAGAGGAGAGTTTCTGCCGTGAATGGTCGTGTAAAGCCGCGCTAATCTCTCCGCGTCTGTGCCGGTGTAGGGCTCTCTCTCTCCGGGCACCGAGTCACCGGGGCACCGCGCTTCACCGGAGACGGGCTCGGATCGGGGCACGGGGCTCTTGCTGAGCTTGTAGGGCAACTGGAGTGGCTGTTTTCAAGCTCTGCCATATACAGGAAATCCGGAAGTAAACACAGGTTCGATTGCCGACCCCCTCTCTCCCGGGATGTTGTCTGTTCACTGGTGCATGCTGGGATATGTAGTTTTCTCTTCAAGTGGAGGACTACACGCAGACGTGACGCACGCAAAAACGGTGTTTTTGTCATCTTTTTGTCATCTTTTTTTTTAGATATTACCTGTAAAATTTTCTGGAGGACGATACCAAACAAATACTACAGTGACACTTTAAAAATAACGTCCATTAGTTAACATTATTTATTTTATTACCATGAACTAACCATGCAATACATTTAACTGTATTTGTTCATCTTTGTGAACGTTAGTTAATAAAAATACAGCTGTTCTTTGTTGGTTCATGTTAGTTCACAGTGCATTAAAAAATGTTAACAAGATATTAATAAAGTATTAGTAAATCTTTGAAATTAACATTAATAAAGATTAATAAATGCTGTATATGTGCAGTTCATTATTAGTTCATGTTAACTAATAGTTAGCTAAAATTAACTAATGAACCTTATATTGTAAAGTGTTAACAATACTACTATACTGCAATAAATGCAGAGAGGTAGGCTATTCTTTAAAATATCACAATCTATCTGGTTAAAAAATTAGGGTTGGGGAAAGAAGATGCAAACATATTTGTTTTTCTCCTGACAATGTATGACACATAATCTCATCTCAGCACTTTTCTTTGATCTGAATATCAACATTTGTGAGATTTAGTCAGTCAAAACCGTTTTGATGTTGATTGATCCAATTTTGTCTCTCTGGAAAATAGAGATGACATTTTGTTTTGTTGGATATCAAACTTTTTTGTGTTTATTTGTTATTAATGGATTTGTGGACACATTCATGTTTTTAGATTTCTGGAGTAAAAGTTATAGCTTTTATTTTGAAGTAAAAGATAAAATTAGACCCTTGGGGTAAGATGAGCCACAGGCGGCAACTATAGCAGCATGCTGTTATAGTGTTGTTTTTAAATGTAATACTTATTGTAATTAATGGGGTTGTTTTTCAGTATTCCATAAATTAGATAAATTAGATTGCTATTATGACATCTTCAATTCAAATATGGACGATTAAATAAGTACATATTCTTAATAGGGATGGCCCGATACCGATACTGGCATCGGGGATCGGGCCGATACTGTCCTAATATACTCGTACTCGTACTCATAAAAATTCGCCGATACCACGCACCGATACCACGTACATTTTGCAAAACGAAACTGGCCGCCGCGAGTGCTTTGTCGAGGTGAACTGAGGCATAGGAAAGTATAGGCTAATGTCGGCGGTTTGGGCTCATTTCAAGATAAGGGATGATGACAACAGCAAGGCAGACTGTGAGTTATGTTCAGCTAAGGTGTCGAGAGGAGGGAAAGAAAGTACATCGTTTAACACCAGCAATCTAATTAAACATCTGAAGACGCATCATAGATCTGATGGCCGAGCGCGCGCGCGGGCGGTAATGCACTCACTCTGTGTGTGCGGGTTACGGGAGAATAAAACGATTCGCGGGACTCCCGCAAACTAGAAATATCTATGAATAAAACATAAAAACTAAAAGATTTTTATTAATCTCTTGCAGAAAAGCAACAAGAACAACTACAACAAAATAGAAACGATTTACAGGACAGAGTTTCTATTCATAACATGGTTACAGCGTTGAGCGATGTAGCCAATCACAGACATATGTGTTGATTTCTGGAACGCAATGGCCAATCAGAAGCATTTAAGATAGACTCCCCTCACCGCTCAAAACGGACTTTTTTGTTCAGTGCTGAATTCTGCATGCTGGCAAATCCTCTAATTATAACAAACAAAGTGTGGATATTATGAAAGATTGATTGTGCAGTCAGCTTCATTGATAATAACAGAGATGTGTGAGATCGCGATGAACTGTCAGCTTTTAGGATTTATTAAGGGAGCGCACTTTGCGCGCATTCAGTCATGCCAGACCATGCACGCAGTAGCCTGCTTGCTTTTATGTTAAATTAACAGTGGTTTGTGTGTTAATACATTTATTATTTTACTAATTTTTATTTATTTTTTAGACTTGTTAAAACAAGCAGAGAAGAAAATAAAAACAGTCTTCTAACCTGTGTTCTAAAATAGTCGTCTTCTTTTCTGGGAGCCTATTACTTTTGCGGTAGAAATATCGGTATCGGTACTCGGTATCGGCAAGTACACAAATGTAAATACTCGTACTCATATCGGTTTGAAAAAAAATGGTATCGGGCCATCCCTAATTCTTAACCCAAAAGCACTCAGAACATGCAAAATTTGCAAGACCTACGAACTTTTTACTTTATTAAATGTTTAGATTTTTTTCATTTAAGCAACGCCCTCTTTCTTTTTTCTTTTTTTTCTTTTTTTTCTTTTTTTATCACTGTCTAATTGTTTTTGTTTTTGTGCTATGTTGTTGCTGTTGTGTTGTTATTATGTTGTTTCACACTGTAAACTGAATGTTTAAATAAAGCATTAAAAAAAAAAACTATATTTACCTATCAAATGAATCTCTTTTACTGGGATTCTGCTTGGTCTGTCATCGGTCATTTAATTATTATCAACTTAATTGACTAAATAAAATGTTAAATACAAATGTTTGTTTCATATTTTACATTAATGACACTTATATACAATTGTATCAATATACAGGGCCTCATGTGTTTTTTTCTAAAGCCATTAATAGAAACATTTGCTAATTTAGATGTTATAGCACAAACGGTCGAATATTAAAGAAGGGGTAAGTTATGTCCCAATTTTAAAATGAACTTTGCATTGAACTTCCTTTCTGACCAATATCTGACTTCAGTTCTTTCCTGTTATACATCCTGTTCATTTTCTCACCATTGTATACATAATCAAGCTATAATGCGTTTAAATGACTGAGTTTCACAAGAGCATATAATTTCAAAATGTGATATTTATTTTACAGAAATACTTTAAATATTTTAAAAGTTACAAAATTGATCACCTAAGCATCTGAAAAACAAGTTAGAGATCAATTCAAAGCCTTTTTTTCTGTGCTTTCCTTAGTATTTTCACCCATTTTTTTGTTATACATTAAAAATTAAAGAAGCTTCTTTAGCTATTTTACAAAGAAGTTCATGTTTCCTGTTCAACATTTGATCGGGTCCACCAGAGGGCGTCGTTTATCCTCAAAAGAAACTCGTGTTCTGCTTTTTCAGTGTTTTCTTCCGTCTTAGGCTATACAGGTTTGTCCTATTTCTCTCACAATTGGTTGTGAATCCACTCCAAGATAATAGACTACAGAGTTAAAACTTAAAATAAATAAATAAATAAATAGTGGTTACTAAAATGTGGGTTTGAGCTTTTGGAGCCACTCTTGAAATCTTGAGCATATCACCTGAAAGCTATTGAACAGGCATGGACTAAAAGCTACAAAACGTCCATTTTGATGGGAATCGTTAGAACAGAGGCATTACACACACCTCTGTTCGACCTCCCTCGTTCCTCCAGGATAACACTGAGAGAGAAGAGGTTGTGGATAGAGACTGCAGTGAAGATTTCCCTGAGGTACAGTATGATGACACTCGCTCCTGGAGCCAGATCACTGTGTTTGAGCCGCAGGGCTGAACATAACACCTACAGGGCAGACAAGGTCGTTCCAGGGAACATCTCAGCTCAGATCGATCGAGAAACATCTGAGATCAGCAGCCTGAGGCTGAGAGGTCACCAGAGCTCATTCAGATGCAGGACCTCACCTCGACTCAGCATCAGACCTGCTCCTGTCTGTCATTCATAAACACACACACATGCACACACACACACACACACACACACACACACACACACACACACACACACACACACTCACCCACGTTCCCTCAGCTAAGAGAGTTTTGTCCAAAAAGCTGATACTTTATTATTTTTGTTAAATGAGGGTCACATTAAAGTTGTCCTGTAAACTGCTTGCTACGCCTTAGTTTTATTTATTTAGGTATTTATTTATTTATAAATGCATTACACATAAATATCGGTTTTACTGTTTTACCCTTGTCAGCTTAACTTAACATCCAATCTTAAAATTGAAAATCCATGATTAAATTGAATTATAACACTTTTAAGAGCATGATAATATAAACAAGAGAAAGAAATAATCATAAACCATTACAATGTTTATTCTCTAATAGAAGTATTTTCAATGTACATATGTCAGCATTTTTCTGCCACTTCCAAGCTGTAATTTTGTCCACTTAAGTATAATATTTCTATAGGCCTTTATGTATTAGACAAAATAGTCTGGCTAAAAAATATGTTTTCCATCACCATCACCATCATCTCCACCACAGAATGATATTAAACACCTTGTCTAACTCTTGTTCTATCCAGACTAGCATAATCTGTGCTGGAAATTAAATTGTTGGATAAAAATACATAAATACTAAATTCCACTGTGACAACATGCATCTTTGTAGATGTTCTAGCAATGTGATCTGTGAAGTTCAACTGATCATCAATAACAACTCCAAAGTTTCTGGCTGTTCTGGGTGGAGTTATGGTTGATGAGCCAAGCTAAATGGAGAAGTTGTGATGAATTGTTGGGTTTGCCGAGACCACACGCAGTTCCGTCTTCACAAAGTTAAGTTGAAGGTGGTGGTTCTTCATCCAGCAAGAAAGGCATCCAGGCAAACTAAGATGCGAGCAGCTGCCATCAGATCATCTGGGTGGAGTGAGAGGTGGAGTTGTGTGTCGTCAGCTTTACAGTGATGGGAAAAGCCATGTTTCTGAATGACAGATCCCAGCGATGAGAAGTAGATGGATAAGAGAAGCGGTCCCAGCACTGAGCCCTGAGGCACTCCAGTAGCTAGATGATAACAGTGATGGGATAAACCATGTTTCTGAATGACAGATCCCAGCGATGAGATGTAGATGGAGAAGACAAGCGGTCCCAGCACTGAGCCCTGGGGCACTCCAGTAGCTAGATGATAACAGTGATGGGAAAAGCCATGTTTCTGAATGACAGATCCCAGTGATGAGATGTAGATGGAGAAGAGAAGCGGTCCCA